CAGAAGGGTCCCGGGTTCGATTCCGGTCAAGGGCATGTACCCTGGTTGCAGGCTCCTCCCCGGCCCGGGCCCTGGTCGGGGCTCGTGCAGTTGGCAACCCATCCATGTGTCTCTCTCACATCGATGTTTCTCTCTGTCTCTCCCTCTCTCTCCCACTCACTCTCTACAAAGCAATGGGAAAGCATCCTCGGGGGAGGACTGAAACATAAAAATAAATAAAAAGTGTCTAACCTGGTGGAATCCCGTCTTATTTTCCTGACTGAACGGCTCCCGTCCCATCTGCCTGACTTCCCCACTGCACGGGCTCGATTCCCAGTGGGGGGCGTGCAGGAGGCAGCGGGTCCATGATTCTCATCACTGATGTTTCCGTCTCTCCCTCTCCCTTCCTCTCTGAAATCAATGAAAATATATGTTTAAGAGCCCAGCACGTATGAACAGACCCTATAGCTGATCCACGTGACAGACACAGGCCCAGCTGGCTAAATCCATCCCAGAGGTCTGAGCGCCACCTGGTGGCCGTTCCACAGTCCACGCTCAGTTCTCAGGCGCCTCCACGCAAACATACGCCCGTGTTTCAGAATAGGACCTGATTACTAGAATTAATCCAGTCTTATCATTGTGGCATACGATATTTATATTTGAGTGTTTGATAGGACACAGTAAATTTGTGTATAACTTAAGACGGACACTCTATTTGCTTCCAAAGATACATAAAACCCATAATTATCAGAATAATAAAGTGATATGAGAGGTCAGCTAATATATTAAAAAAAATACATCGGTGTTAACACCACTGTCCCAGAGAAGCCAACCGCGGGAAAGTTAACGATTTGTGTTGCTTCATAATATGAAAATGTAAGCGCACATCGGTAAAATAAAACCTGTTTTCTCACCTTTGTGTTGAGCCGGCATTCATTCAGGAAGGAAATATGTAATTTTTTGGATGAAAAAGGGGTCCTGGGCTGAAGTCTACTCTCCTAAGACTTGTTTGTTTTCCTTTGTGCTCAGAGAGTTCGTCGCTTCCATAGCATTCGCTTTAAAAAATGTTTTAAAAGTTAACAACTTGGCCTCCGTCGAAGAAAGAAGAAGTTGGAGCTCGGGTTAATGATCACCGGTTTCTAGAAAGAGAAATTGCAAATGCATATGAAGACACAGTCCTGATGTCAACCCTGCATAAGTACCTTTTGTTTCACGACTCAATGCCCACTTCATCTCGCGGAATAAGCAAGCGAAAATTAATTGGAGAGCGTTTTGGCCTGGTTCTTGTCACCCACGCATCCAAACCCCAAGGAATTCATTTGTATCGTATAGAAAGGTTATGCGCTTATGAAATCTTACAAAAGTTATTTTTAAAACTTTTTAAACACACATGTGCGCGCACACACACACACACACACATTGTAGAGAGAGGGACACAGCAGCTCCTTCGGGTGGGCGGGGGGTCAGGCTGCCGGCTCGGGAAGATTTATTTCCCTGGAGCATTCAGGGGACTCACTTCCTCTGACATTTTAGATGATAGATTACTGGGGTCAGAACTCTGTTAACTCTGAGAATTTGGACGCTTCTCCCAAGATTTCTTGGATAGTTTGTGAAGAAAACGTTCAACCAGCACGTGTAAAGCAAGGCCAACGTTTCCACCTGGCATTCAGTCACCACGAGAGGCTGGCTGTCGGCCGCAATGGAACCAGGCCCTCCAGCTCAGGGCAATGGGCCCCCATAGAATGAGACTCTCTGCCCAGTGCTGTTGCCCACAACAGAATGAGAGCCTCCAGCCCAGGGTCATTAGCCCCAATAGAATGAGAACCTCCAGCTCAGGGCTATTGGCCCCAATAAAATGAGACTCACCTGCCCAGTTCTGTTGCTCGCAATAGAATGAGATTCACCTGCCCAGGGCTGTTGGTCCCAATAGAATGAGAGCCTCCTGGCCCATGCTGTTGCCCGCAATAGGAGCTTGTAATGACCAGGGCTGTTGGCCCCAATAGAATGAGAGCCTCCTGCCCCATGCTGTTGCCCGCAATAGGAGCTTGTAATGCCCGGGGCTGTTGGTCCCAATAGAATGAGAGCCTCCTGCCCCATGCTGTTGCCCGCAATAGGAGCTTGTAATGACCAGGGCTGTTGGCCCCAATAGAATGAGAGCCTCCTGGCCCATGCTGTTGCCCGCAATAGGAGCTTGTAATGACCAGGGCTGTTGGCCCCAATAGAATGAGAGCCTCCTGCCCCATGCTGTTGCCCGCAATAGGAGCTTGTAATGCCGAGGGCCGTTGGTCCCAATAGAATGAGACCCTCTGCCCAGTGCTGTTGCCCGCCATAGAATGAGATTCATTTGCTCTGTGCTGTTGCCCTCAATACAATGAGACCCTCCTGACCAGCGCTGTTGACGCTCTATAGAAATCACAAAACACCAGTGTCTGATAATATTCACGGAAATATATCTTCTGTGGAAATCTCCATGGGGGCACATGAAATCATGAATATCCGACCACGTGTGCTGTCTTGCAGTGCTGGACAGAGTTAATCTCTTCCTTTAAATTGCATAAATATCAGGTTCCTTTTATTTCGGACATTCACATGTCCTCTGAGCGACGGGAAGCATCGAACTGAAAACACTCTCAACATCTGTGGAGAGAAACTCCGTGAGCGCTCGCGATGGTGACGACACTTGTTGACTGGGCTGATTTTGACCCTTTTGAACTTCCTGCATTTACATTGTGAACAAATATCTGGCGACCACGTGAACGGACCACGCTAGCTTCCCACGGACTCCCATCAAAGAGAAATCTGACGTCCGGCGATTTAATACTACTTTCAACAAAGGGAAAGCTGCCAGGGCAGGTTTTATTTACAAAAATCATTTGTTTCCTTTGAAAAGTCATCTTTCTCAAACGAAAACCGAGTGGGAGCCCTGAGGAGAAACCTTAGACTATCTTGGGGGGAAACCCACACCCCTGCACACACTCGGAGAGATTCAGGTGACTGCGTTGTATGGAGGGTCTCATTCTATTGCGGGCAACAGCCCTGGGCATTAGGATTCCTTCTATTGCAGGCAATAGCCCTGGGCAGGAGGCTCTCATTCTATTGGGGCCAACAGCCCAGGGCATTACAAGCTCCTATTGCGGGCAACAGTCCTGGGCAGGAGGCTCTCATTCTATTGGGACCAACAGCCCTGTGCATTACAAGCTCCTATTGCGGGCAACAGCATGGGGCAGGAGGCTCTCATTCTATTGGGGCCAACAGCCCAGGGCATTACAAGCTCCTATTGCGGGCAACAGCCTGGGGCAGGAGGCTCTCATTCTATTGGGACCAACAGCCCTGGGCATTACAAGCTCCTATTGCGGGCAACAGCAGAGGCTCTCATTCTATTGGGGCCAACAGCCCTCGGCATTACAAGCTGCTATTGCGGGCAACAGTCCTGGGCAGGAGGCTCTCATTCTATTGGGGCCAAAAGCCCCGGGCATTACAAGCTCCTATTGCGGCAACAGCATGGGGCAGGTGAATCTTATTCTATTGGTGGCAACAGCCCTGGGCAGGTGAGTCTCATTCTGTTGGGGCCAATGACCCTGGGCTGGAGGGGCTGGTTCTATTGGGGACAACAGAACTGGGCAGGAGGGTTTCATTCTAATCCAGGCAAAGCCTTGGGCAGGGGGACCATTCTACGGGGGCCAACAGCCCTGGGCATTAGGATCTCGTTCTATTGCGAGCAATAGCCCTGGGCAGGTGAGTATCTCCCTCTCCCTTCTCTGAAATCAATAAAAAAAAATAAAAATAAAATGATCATTGCAGACATTCAACTAGTCACATCACACAGTTTAATCTGCAAGGAAATATTAAAACGTATACCTCTTTTCTGCAAATATTTATTTGTAAACGATGTTTTGTGTAAAAATAAATATTTGTAAAAAAAAAAACTAAGCAATTTCTTATCGTGCATTATATGAGAAAAAAGGAATGGCTTGGGGGCTGAATTTTAAGAACTTTGAGAATTTTCTATCTTTTAGTCCCAATGAATTCTGGTACCAAAAGTAAAACAAACTTTAAAAGGGTGTGTGATTCCTGTGTCATTTTCTTTTTTAAGATAAAAGTGAAAGGCATAGATAGTCCCACGATCGCGTGCAGGGGGGGGCCCCCTGGTTGATCCTGGCCGATTCAGATTCATATATATTTGCACAGAGCTCATGGGCCTCCTGCCCTTGAACGCAGCGTCCCTTATGCAGAAGAAAAAAAGAAATTTTCCCCAGCTTGCTCCTGCGTTAAAATAAATCAAACGTAACATAAAATGGACATGAAGCAGGCACTGTTGCTCCACTCCAAAATCTATCTAGTAACACCTACCTAGACCAGTGGTCGGCAAACCGCAGCTCGCGAGCCACATGCGGCTTGTTGCAGAGCCAAATATCAACAGGACAACGATTGAAATTTCTTTCGAGAGCCAAATGTTTTAAATGTAAACTATACAGGTAGGGTACACTGTCATTCACTTAATTAGGGTCCTCCTAAGGCTTAGGAAGAGCCACACTCAAGGGGCCAAAGAGCCGCCGCATGTGGCTCGCGAGCCGCAGTTTGCCGACCACGGGCCTAGACAATCATGTCAGGATCCATTGCGAACTTTGTGGGTCTGATAAAAAATAAAATTAGAGCCCAAACCGGTTTGGCTCAGTGGATGGAGCGTCGGCCTGCGGACTGAAGGGTCCCGGGTTCGATTCCGGTCAAGGGCATGTACCTGGGTTGTGGGCACATTCCCAGTAGAAGATGTGCAGGAGGCAGCTGATTAATGTTTCTCTCTCATCGATGTTTCTAACTCTCTATCTCTCTCCCTTCCTCTCTGTAAAAAAAATCAATAAAACATATTTTTAAAAAAATTAGAATGGGGAACCTGAGAAGAATGTACGGCAAAGGGAAGAGACAGGCCACTAGAATAGAAATGTTTTTTTAAATAAAAATAATCCACTCAGTTCGGAGAGAGAAGATACAGAAAACCAAACCAACCCGAACGCAGGGCGGAATTTAGCCAAAGGAGTTTTCTTTATTATTTTTTTTGAAACATACCATTACAGACGACCTTTTTTCCTAGAACCTACGTAATGATTAAACTATAGATCTTAAAAAGAAACACCACCACAAACCTTTACACCAGGTACATTGAGCTATAAATGTTAACTGCATCACCTATGTTTTATTTATATGTTTATATAATTCATTCGCGAACATGGAACAGTATGTGAAGGACGAGAAAAGACCAGGTTTCCATTTTATGATTGACTGATACGACTACCTGACCACAGTGCCAGCATTTGAGAAATCCAGACACGCTTTAACATGGGAACTACGCCTGGGCCACAGTATTATTACTCATATCAAAGTTTCAGTCCACAGATACGGCCATGGGAGGTTAACACACGTATCATTTGGGGGGGGGGTTGAAAGAAACGAGAGATGAAAGTCGAACCTTATACAGAGAACACGCCCTCTTGCCAAAATGTAAACAGCCCTGTGAAGATAGGAAGGAAAGTTTTGCCGGAAATTCTTAAATTGGGTGAGATGAGCCGGCCAAAGAGACCGCGCTGACTGCTCAACTGCTAACATATGGGATAGAAAGTTTCTGGACGTCAATTGCGTTAACTTTTCTGTGAGAGATATAAACACTTTTTTTATGCCTATTCCTGGAAGAGAAACAGCAAACTGTAAGATCTATGTGGATAGAACAGCGAGGACACCTTCAGGTCATTGTAGGAACACACATGTTATTCTTGCAGCCCGCACACACTTGAGGATGTAAGAAAATAGATGCTCTAAGCTAATACTTTCGGTAAAAATATTGTTTGTTTCTTTAAAAAAAAAAACACAGACATACATCCAGGTTTCCCACCAGCCCATAGATGCACTTGAAATCCCCTTGCCTCTCTCTCTGCCTCAAGAAACACCACCACATACCCACCAGCACACACGCTAAGACCATGGAGTTATTTTTGCTGAAAGATAGCACTTTAAAGTAAGCAGGAGACTGTACAAAACTGTCTTAAATATTGCCTGCGGTAGCACAACCGAAGCTCCCCACCAACACTGGTCCAAGGCCCCCCACTCCCACGAATCCACTGGACACCTGCGTTGTCCTCCTACTGGTAGAAAAATAGAAATCGCCTTGGGAGTGAGTGAGGTTTGGCGCCGCCCGGTCCGCGCCCCTCCTACGCGCTCTGGGTCAGCGCTGGGCTCTCGGGGCCGTTGGCCGCGTGGTCTGTCCCCGCGGGGCTGCTGCTGGTCTTGGGGTCGTCCTGCTCTTTGTCTTCTGCCTGGACCTTGTCGGGGGCGCCGACCGGACTCACGCAATTAGCCTCCGGTCTGGGTTTGTCCACTTCGTTATCGAATTGGATTTTGTCTTCTCGGTTGGGGTTCTTCTTCACTTGTCCGTTCTGGGCCGGATAGGTGCTGGCGATGACGTCATAGAGGAACTGGTACTGCTCCTGGTCAAGGGGAAAGGAAAGGAATTCGGTAAAGAATGCTCCTAGCCCGGCCGGCGTGGCTCAGTGGTTGAGCGTCGACCTAGGAACCAGGAGGTCCCAGGTTCGATTCGCGGTCAGGGCACATGCCCAGGTTGTGGGCTTGATCCCCAGTGGGGGGCACGTAGGAGGCAGCCAATGGATGATTCTCTTTCATCGTTGATGTTTTTCTCTCTCTCTCTCTCCCTCTCCCTTCCAATAAGTATTCTTTCTGCAGAGCCACCACAAATTGCTGGCAAATTCTACTCAGGTAGCCTATATAATAAAAGGCTAATATGCAAATTGTCCCCTCCGGAGTTCAACCGGGAGACTGGGAGTTTGCTCGCTTGCTATGACATGTGCTGACCACCAGGGGGCGGTGCAGAACATGGCGGGCAACCAGCAGCGGTGGGGAGCACGGGCAGTGAGGGAAGGAGGAGGCGGGGAGGCCGGATGCAGGGAACCGGGCCTTGCGCAGCGATTTCACTACTTGGAAAACGTCGATCACGTCTTCCGTCTCGGCGCTCTCCAGGAGGTTAAACAGAGCACAGAACAGTCCTGTTTGCTGCGACCCATCTCTACAGGAAGGAGAAAGAATTTTAAAAAATAACTCTACATTTTATGGGTAAAAATGATAGCAGAATAAACATTAAAGAGAGTGTCCCCCATAAATTTCACCTCTGCAAACCCGAAAAAATGCTGAGAACGGCTCAATTCTAGAATATGCGATTCTGATCGCCATGGTGAGCCTTTCTGAGGAATTCTTAATGCATTTCAGTGGATTTCCACGTCTCCCTTATTGTAACATTTTTATGCAAACATTTGACCGTAGGACTCCTACTTCCGGTAGCGCTCTTCCAGGCCCTCTCCCCGCTGGCCACCGTCAGTCCGTTCTCTGTGTCTGAGCACAACACAGAGCAAGTCTTTTTCCCTCACAAAGAAG